AAACGAAAGTGATACGGTAGCCAAACCCAAAAAAATTCGCCAACTAATTCCCAAAAATTTTCACCCCAAAGTGTCACATCGAATCTTACGGCACATGCATGGAGTATTAAATGTAGATGAAAAAAAAACTAATTGCACAGTTGGGTGAGAAATCGCGAGACGAAACTTTCGAACATAATTAGTCCATAATTAAACACTAATTGCTAAATACAAACAAAAGTGCTACAGTAGCTAAACCCAATTTTTTTGCCAACTAAACGCGCCTTACTAGGACAGGAGAGAGAGAGAGGACAGAAGAGGAGAGAGAGAAGGGCCAGGGGCCTGGCACTGGCCGGCCGTGGGCTGTCCAATCACTGACTTCATTTAGATGCGCGGTAAAGCAGAGATTGTAATCGCTTTGCCACGCGCCTGAGGTCGGCGCCAAGATCTGTGGCGCCGACCTCGGCGCTATGTGTTATGGCGTCGAGATACTAGCCACTTTAACGCCATCTAGGATTTCGGCCAGGCACCTCGGTGGCAAGATCTGTGGCGCCGAGACGTGTTACCTCGGCGCCATAAGTTCTGGCGCCGACCCCAAGGATCAAAGATGAGTTTACTTCTCCCAGGAGGTCAAATATAAATTTTTTTCAAAAAAAAAAAGCTAAATTGTAAAAAAATTGGGACAATGGAACAAGCGACACAGGCCAGCCCAATTCCTGTACGTGGTCTGTTTGAACTAAGGTTTGCTCGGCTCTACTATGGGCCAGGTCTAGAAGGAAATGGGCCAATTTGTTCACGGCAGTAGGAGAAAAATCCGCAGGCTAGAGAGTAGAAACACTGGAGGCCGCCAGATAGACTAGAGCTACTGCTGCAAAACACAGGCAGCTTTTGTCCAAATGACCAAACAAATCATGCTTCCCGGCTGATGCCCTCCCTTGTGACTTTTGCCTTTCTGTCCAGTCCATGAGCATTGCTTTTCCCCTTGCTGGTAGGTGCTGCAGTGCAGGCAAAGAACTTGGACACAAGGACGCCTGTGCTTGGTTGGATCTGCTGCCTCTGCCCTCGTGTTCTGTTCTCGAGGGATGCACGTTAGCTTCCTTTCCATCGGGGTTTCAGTTTCGCCTCCAACTCCAAAGCCTCGATTCTTTACTGATCATTGTGCCTAACTTAGCTTGGTACTACTATAGCTTTATTCCCCAAAAATGTGTGAGCCCGTTTGGTTGCGCAGGACCAGCCTCGGAACGCGAGGCTTGCATCTGTGACTGTTCCACAAGCTTGGGAGCCAAGCAAGGGTGCCCCGGCCTCTAGCCCAAGTATCTGATGCCTTGGAGTATACTAGACTTGGTACTCTTCTTTGTTTGCCTGTGCCATTTACTCGTTGTCTTCTCTTATCACCCCCAACTTTTCAATGCAAGAACTTGGCAATTTGGACGGTATCTTTCACATATTCAGCCTATTCGTTTGTTGGTTTCAGCCAGAGCTTTATCAACTATGTTACGATATTTTTCTCTCACAATAAATCAGCACCAGCTGGACTTATCAGCCCAGAAACCAATCATGGACAGTGACAACCGCTACGTACTAGTACTACCTCACCAAATCCACGCTCCGTCATGGAAGACTGACGACTAGTTTCCTGCACTGCACTTGAGTGATTCAGTCTTGAGACTCCTTTGGAGATAGGCCTGCTGCTGCTGGTGCACCGAATGCGATCGAGGACGGCCGGCTGTACTCAGTACTCCTTCCTAACCCGGGCCTGTGATATTCCTTTCGTCCCGGGAGTAAGCTTACCTGCACGCATTTTGGTGACCTACCGAGCTGTGACATTCCTGTTCGTTGCTTAACCAAATCTGCTGCTAATCAATGGCTCAGTCACAGCCCCAAGAGTGACGCGTAGAAAATCATTGCGAGATATTCCAAAGGTTTTTTTTTCACTTGGATCGTTGGATACATGCATAGCCCCACCATTTTGTTCTCATGCTCCTTTATTGATGACAGCAAGAATTATTTTTATTATTTTAAAATCATTGACGTCGAGAAGAAGTCGTTGGGAGCTGTTAGTGTTAGGAGGACGAACGCCTGCACGTTGCTCTAAGCCTTTAACCAATTTGATGCCACGCCACGAGAATGAAACTTCAGGTGCATTCAGAATTTAACTCAGAATTTGCCCTGATTCGTGCTGAATTCGAACGGCTTTCTTGTGAATTTAACTCAGAATCCACGCTTAGTCAGCAGGATCTGATGCCAGTGTACCCCACGCTTGTCGTTACGGTGTTGTTGCCTTGACGTCGATCGACATTAGAATAACAGCGACAGGAGCTGAGCTTATTCGGTGGCCACACGGCTGCTCAATGGCTCGCTCGCGGTGGTTGGCTTTTAGGTGCCCCGACCCCGAGTTTGTTATGCTAGCGATTATTATTATCACTTACTCACTCTCAAGTGCTGTACCACACTTTTCATCGAAGCAAAAAAAGACGACAGGCTACTCTTGTCCCCCTACGCCTTTGGCGCCATTTGCCATCCGTCTCCCTGCGGTGCACGAATCATACCAATCATCCCCTAACAAAACCCTGCGGCAGCCTAAACGCTTTTCTGTTCGGCGTAGATGCTAGGCTCCAAACGATCACCAAACGCCCTCACCTCCATGCATTAGCACAGCACTGGCCCGACACATCACGTCGATCATGAAGCTGAAAGAGCTCGCGTCAGCGGATGCGGATCGCCACGACCGCGACCCGGCGCTCCGAAACTTCCGACGTGCTCGGCGTCCTCCCCTCGCTGACACGGCCTTGGTGGCAGGACGGCCGACCGACACCGCGGCGGCAGCACACCAACCGGACCTGCAACTGCACCTGCCCATAATAGTGGCTCGAACGGGAAACCGGTAGCTTCCAGGAGGGGAGGTGTGGCCTGGTCGCCTGCCTGACGTGCATGAACCACAAGGCGACTAGGCGAGCAACAGCGATCTTCTAAAGATCACAGGGCGATGTCGTTGGGCAGTGCCCATCATCGGCATGGCATGGCACATTGGCGCTGTCCGGACGGCCTAAAAGAACTCGTGCTCTTGTCCGTCGTCCCGTCCCGCCCCGGCCCCGGCCCGGGAGTACGTACGGGTATGAAGCATGTGAAAGGAATTGAATACGGTGGCGTAGGGTGGTTGATGACCAGCAGTGGGTGTGGGTGGATGGAGTTCATCGCACTCACAAGGGCGACGGACTGTTTAAAAAAACGAAATTTGAAAAGAGCAGTGGCCAAGCAGGAGGAAGGAATACAGGCAATCATTAGTTGCACTTGCCTTGCGTTTCCAGCTCTCCAGCTGGTCACTGCCGGCCTCCAGCCTGGTCAGCTGTGTACAGTGTAGCCTTACACCCTTGCCAAGCGATGTGGGGAGCAGGATATCGTGCACCGAGAGCCGTCCGATTGGGAGGTAGCGGCCTCAGTTTCTCCCAGCGCAGTATCAGTGCATGGGACCATGATATTTAGGAGAGTGATTTGTTTTGTTTTGTTTCTTTCAGAATCGTTATTGCTCTGTGGTCTGTAGTGTAGTGGGAGCAAGATGTCCAGGTCCAGTCCAGCTGCAAAAGCCTACAGCTGCCTGCTCAAGTTATGGCCAGAGAGAGATGTCACCGCATGTGGAGGATACCTCTTCGGCAGCCGCATTTCAACCTCACCAATCACCGCAAAACATAATTGAGATGCTGATGCCGCTGCCGCGATTTCAGAAAACACAGCCTTTGCTTTGATGTTTATTATGTCAGGTTTCAAATGATAGTTTCCTTTCCTCCAATCCTACTGCATTCCTGCGGTCTGCTTTCAAAGATTCCATCGCCTGTGACTGATAATTTAAAGAAAGGTCATCTTTCTCTATTGGTTTTGTGTACATTTAGGTGGCGTTAATTGGAGGATTAGAGGTAGTATTAACACTGTATTATAAGTCTGTTGAGACGTCCCCGTCCGATATAAAAAGTTCATCCTAACTAACTTCAATATTATTGCTATTTTCCTTTTTTTTTGTAGCTCTCTTGGTGCACACCCATCTGTAAAGATCCTCGCGTAGTCTAATGCTCTCTTAACTCCTGATGCTCCTCTTTCTAAAAAAAAAAACAAAAAAAAACTGATGCTCCTTCAGATGTGTAACACTGACGAAACACCATTGGCCACAGCTCACGAGTCAAATCAAACAAGTCATCACCATCTTGGAAGCAATATGAACTTCCAGAACACAGGAAACAGCATTTCAAGTTCAACAACAGGTGAACATAGGAATCAAACATTAGCTGAAGCTTGTGAGGGGTTGAAGAACCAAAGGGTGTGGAACTAATAACAACAGACAGACAGTACTAACAATGCCAGAACTACAACATGTTATGCCATTCTGGACGGAGTAAGGATCACAAGGAGATAAATGAATTAGGCCATTCTTGCTGAGCATAATAAGCAAAACCAGAAGAGCAAACCATTGTGTAGATTCCCAACATAGATAAACATGGCAACGAAGAGAGCAATTTGCAGGACATCAGGCCAGTCTGGATGATGGAAGGACACATATAGAACAGGATTTCAGCAAAGGCACAAGACCAGTATGCACTCGAATTGTTTCAAATCAATTTAATTAATCCATATTATACGAGTGTACTGAATAGACATGTAAATGAAACAATTCTGAACTAATAGACCAAAAAACTGAAACCTTTATCCTATCCAAGAATTGTACACCACCAATCAAGTAATTCCTTCCAACCCATGATAGTCACAACCTCCAAACCAGAGCCTAATGAATCAATCTGAATCATAGTGCAAAATGAACAAGAATTTGCTCCCCCACCTATTCACTGTCTTCATCCCCTTGCTGCCGCTGCAATCTGTATACCGCCCCTCCCCTGTACAGCCGAAGGCGGCAGCTGGCTTGCAGCAGCAGCAGCAGCTGTGGCAGCAGTGGCAATGCATTGCAAGGCAATTCCATTACCGGCCAAGAACCACGGCATCCCCAAATCAAAGAATTATTGTGTATATCTGAACTTCTACCATGCCGCCGATGATGACAAGGCTGACCGGGACGGCCCTGATGCTGATGCTGAATCATTCTCGCCAATGTAGAGGTCGTACGACCTCCAGGTGTGGTCGAGCGGGCAAGGCTTGCCGGCGTCGAGACGGTCCCATGGCTTGCCCTTCCCGGACCAGTGCATGAGGCTGACGGGCCCGTAATGGAGAGGGCGGCAGCTACCGAAGACGTTGTCGCCGCCCAAGCCGTGCTGGTTCCACCGGTGGTCGACGGCCTCTATCTCGCCGGCGAAGACGAGCAAGAAGGGGGGCAAGGAGCCAAGCTCGTAGATTCTTTTCTCCTTCTGCATCTCCATCCAGCGCTCGATGCGCTGGCGGTAGTTGCCGATGCGCCATCTCCGGAGGTCGATGACCATGACGCCGGTGTTGAAGTAGCAGGGAGCGCGGCGGCGGCCGGTAAAGACTCTGGCGCCGAGGACGGGGTCGTTCCAGAAGGCCTCGGTGAAGTAGCGGGAGAAGTTGGCGTGGCAGTACTCGGGCGCGGCGACGACCGCTGCGGCGGGCAGGCGCGTCTCCCAGAGCCTCCGCACGTCGTCGACGGCGAGCACGTCGGAGTCGAGGTATATCGCGCGCAGCACGCAGCGCGGGAGCAGGTCGGCGAGGTGGTTCCGCGCGTAGTTGAGCGGCGCCTCGAGCGCGGCGCGCACGGACGCGGAGATGAGCCCGGCGACCGCGTCGGCGCGGAACGGGTAGATCTCGAAGCGCAGGGACGGGAAGGAGGCGGCCACGGCGGCCCGGAGGTCGGCGACGGGCGGCGCGCCGCCGCCCTCCGCGGCGAGGAAGTGGAAGAAGAGCGACTCCGGGCAGGAGGCGTGCTTGAGCAGCGAGTAGATGGCCGCCATGGAGCCCCTGAGGTAGTGCGCGTCGAGCGTCATGGCGATGTGCACCAGGCCCGGGTCGCAGACCCCCGCGCCCGCCACCGGGGCCGGGCACCCCTCCCCGTTCCTGTACTCGGGCGCCTCGGCGAACCTCGGCAGCCCCGCCGCCGACGACGCCGGCCCCGATGCGGCCAATAACGCCACCAGCACCAGCCCGGCCCACATCGCCGGGGACGCCGCGCCCATGGCCGCCGCCGCCGAGGGGATCCCCGTTGGTCCCCGCCCCGGCCGGCTCACCGCTCGCCCTCGCCCTCGCCTCGGGGGCGTCGGGTCGGGTCCGGTTGTGTGGTTCCCTCCCTGGAAGTGGTAGGCGTCGTTGGTGTATGCGCCTGCGCGTAGGTGTGCGCGCGCGGGTGGCGTCCGCGTCCGCTCCGCTCGCTGGATCCCTCAATGGCAGCCTGGGCTGGGTCGATCGGCCGGGTCGTTTTATCGGGGACATTTATATGTGGCGTTACCAATAAAGCACGCGTGGAAGGTGGGGTCCCACGTGCGCTTCGTTGGCTTCGGCATTTTCCTCTTTGCTCGCCTACGCGTTCCTCCGTCTGCAATTGCAATTGCAAGCGGGGCATCGGTTGGGTGGGGCCGCGGGGTCGGGGCCGGGTTAATTACGGCGTGCTTAACGAGCTGGGCTGTTTAATTAGGGCTAATTCGGGCAGGATTAGCAGCAGGCCGCCAGCTGTGTACGTACGGCTACGCGTACTCGTACACCGCGCACGTATGCAACTCACCTCTGTCCACTTCGACGTCTTTCCGGCGGCGGCGGCGGCGGCTCATGCTTTATTATTCTACTACTAGTAGTGCTGCTGTTGGTAACGGCCTGTTGGCACCAATGCTAACCGGGCCGCGATCATCGTGGGCTGCCCGAGTCATCAAGCCCAGGAGAGCACCGACTCGAGGTAGAAGAAGCTTCGGCCCTAGGCGGGACGTCGAGCCCAGGAGTGCGCCGTCCCACGAAGCCCCGTACTCGCTACTTTGGCCCTATGTGGTCCAACAACTAGAGTGACAGGGAATAGCTAGTATATATATTAGGGGAGAGAGCTGAGGGAGGAATCATCGAAGAACCTGTAAACTCTTGTAATATTCCAAGCATACCCCTATCTGAATCGAAACCTATGCTTGCTACCTGTTCCCAATTCTAGTTCTTCTGATCCCAATCCCCCCTTGTTGTTAACAATTGGTATCGGATTCCTTCGATCCTGGAACCCCATCTTCCTCACCATCACTTTACCTATCTTCAACGCCATCGTGGTGCCATGGATCCTACCCTCATGCTCATCCTGGACACCATGAACAGCCGATTTGACGACCTCAACCGTCGATTTGCCGATCGGGACAGCTCCTCGGCAACTCGTGCCACGGCAGTCGACGAACGCTTTGACCTGCTGGTGGCCCACCAGGCGGCGACCACATCTGTGGCAGAACCACCTAAAATAACTCATTTTCGGAGGTGCTTGTCTTCCATTAGACACTAAACACCCCAAGAGTGAGCTAATTTAAACAGTTCTGGCGAGTACACCCTATGGGAGAAACAAAAAATCTATATTTTTCAACAGGATCATAACTGAGAGAATAAAGCTTACAACATTTTATCTATTTCTTACATCACTTTCCATACAATATCAGAGTATAATATTTATTGCTTATATCAGCGGAGTATAACCATGTTATCAGAGTTTCAGCAGAAATAAAATTATTTAATGACAAGTTAAACATTAACATGATGATCCGTTATATAACAGGTTATAAGTTTTTCCATTGTAAAATATTTTGGGTGAAAGTTTCAAATAAACTATATGTGCGCAACGTTAAGGAAATCCTCGCTAAGCCCATCAGGAGGTTTCTACACACAAGTATCAGCTCTGTAAGGAAAATAGACCCTAGGCCCATTTACTTTAGATTTTGGTATTTGATGACCAACACAACCAAATTGGACTAATGAATCTACAAGTGGTTGTTTTGTAGTTCAATAGGGTGCAAGACGTGATTTGGACGAAGGCGACATGATGATCCAATGATCAACACCATAAGCAAGACCCTAAAAGCACAAGAGAAGACCCAAGATATCAAGCAAAGTCCAAGCACGAAGATAGAAACCAAGCCAGATGCAAGATCGCGAAGAAACGAGCTTCACAGAGGTGACCGGACACGCCCTTTATAGCGACCGGACGCGTCCGATCAAGATGCTCGGCAACAGCAGGCGTCAACTGTAGCGACCGGACGCTGAGGACTAAAAGTGACCGGACACGATGATAGCACTATTCATCATCCCGGCAACACATTCAGCACTGACCGAATGCTGGCGGACAATCGACTGGACGCAGGAACTGCAGCGTCCGATTGAGTCTAAAGAGGTTCTAGAGCGGTGACCGCGCGACCAGACACGTCCAATCAACAATGACCGGACTTGGCAGTGCGTCCGATCAACGCGGGCACTCTAATGGTCGGGATGACCGGACGCGTCCGATCAGGACGACAACAGCGTCTGGTCAGTAGCAGAAAGGTGGGTCTCATCCCCAACGGCTACTTTCTTAGTGGGGCTTATAAATAGACCATCCAACCGGCCATTTGAGTAGTGTGGAGCTAAGGAAACATACCAAGGGTGTTGATACACCATTTTAGTGATATACACTTGTATAGTGCTTAGTGATTCATTAGGTGATTAGCGTAGGTTCTTTGCGAAGTGCTTAGGTTGATTAGACCACCGCTTATGCGCTTGCTCTAGATTTAGGCCTAGTGTTTAGTGAGGTTTGCATACCTCTTACCACTCAGTGCTTGCGCGCACCATTGTTGTACATCGAAGGGGCTTGTAGTCTTGTGAGATCACACCAACCACGTTTGTGTTGTGGCTGCCACCGTGTACCGGAAGGAAAAGGCCCGCAATGTTTCGACCGAAAGCTTGATAGTGAAGACGACGGGGAGCGGTCCGAGAGAGGCTTATCGGAAGGCACACCGGAGACCCACTTACGTGTGGGGAAGGCCCGAGGCTATCCATGGAGTTACCCAACCGGGAGCTTGGCCCTTGCGAGGGATTCCTTGTGAGGGGCTCCAACGAGAACTAGGGGGAAGCTTACGCGCTTCTCGATACCTCGGTAGAAATACCAGAGTCATCGATGAAAGTTTGCATATCTCTACCTTACTCTTTAGGTTCCGCATTTATATTGTTTGCATAACTCCTTTTGTAGTAGAAATAGCAACTCACTAGCAAAACCATAGTTGCACATTTAGATAGTTTATCTTTTGCATAGGTTTTGCTAAGAATAGAAAAAGAGACTATAGTTTAGAGTTAGAGTTTTAAGTTGCCTAATTCAGCCCCCCTCTTAGGCATCACGATCCTCCTTTCAAGCTCCACATGTTCTTGTCACCTGCAATATGGTAGAACAAACCTTGAGTATTCAATTGTACTCTGCACGACTTACCCGTCAGGTGGAAAGAAAGGACTTCAAGGATATGCAAGGCTATCTGGCTTGTGGGTTATTGCATCTGTGGAAGCATTACTAAACATGCATCCTTATATTAATTTTTATTAGCAGTCATTATTAGTCCATTACTAACCATTCTATGTAAGCACATGTGCTACTTTCAAGCAGGTGACAAGCAATCAGAACCATTTTACCATCTTTCATATTCCAGTTCTTACTACGGTGCTAGATTGTAGCCAAGTCATACCGTATCTCACGGCAATTCACGAACCAATGTATTCTAGCTGGGTACCCTGAAACACACACCCCGCTTGTACCCTAGGCATAAGCAGGACCAACCCACCACTCTCCTGTTAAGGGTCTAGGTCCCCGTCCAAACTTGGACTCCAAGCCTCCACACCTGAGTCCTGGACTTAGTGTGGTGCTTAGACCTCTCCCATCCCTACCTCCAATCAGTCGATCTAGAAAGAGCCGAAACCCACGATAAGAGAGCAACGGGCCTTCCCGCCCCCATAAGCAAGTATGTGCTCAGGATAATAAGTCTGTGGCCTGACTAGAATCCAATGCAACGGCCGGTCCTTAACCGACATAGGCGGAACAAGTGCAATCCGAGCCTCGCTCGAATGCCCAACCAAGTCCAGATCCAAAGTATTATTCCGCCCGGTCTCCAATTATCATTCATATATATATATATATTCCATGTGATAGTAATATAATAACAACAATAATATATTTCCTATATCTCGCGAGTGACACGCAATCACTTGACTTCTCCCGTAGTCCTATAGCATAGCAATCTACACGATCCAGTCAAACTAGTAAGACTCATAGGATAAGGATATATATATGCAAGTGGGTTTCATTCAACTCCTTAAACTTAATGCACCAGCATAAAATAAGTGCAGAATAATATGGGTTATGCACCGGGGCTTGCGTGGATAAAATATAACCAAGTTAGCTTTTCATCATGGTAGCATGATCATCAAGTCACCATCTACTTCCGCTACTCCAGATAACTCCATGATCCAACATCGCTCCTATCATGAAATACGTGGATGCAACGCAGGGACGTAAATAATCAACGGCAACCGCAACTCTAAAATACGATTACGTCTCGCAAGCTAATGAGCTAGCTCTAATGACTAACATACTAAGTCATGTATGCATGTTGTCAAGTGAGGCTCATTTTCGGAAAATGTTTTCGTTCTACAAACCCCCAATTATTTTGACATTTGATTGATTAAATATATATTTTCATTGTAGGACTCATTTAGTTACCTTAACAAACTAATTCCTATGGAGCTACAAAAATTATAGTGAGCACCTAATAATGTTAGAAATCTACTATAAAAAATTCAGAGCCAACACTACTATCAATCCATCACAACAATTCCTACAAGTTTATATCTTACAATATTAAGCATTTCAAATTAATTATATAACTCCTAAGAATATTATAAAAACTATGTATAAAAAATATACTAGCAGATAGATCATGATTTTAGGAACCTAACAAAATTAGTTTCACAATTTTTTGGCCGACTACACAAATTTATATTGAATTTACATGTTGCCCTAGAAACTACATTAGAAAATGCCTAGAAAAGGAAAAGAGACCGACATCAACCATATCGGCCCCAGCAGCCCACGCGGACACGGTGCGCGCGACAGCTGGCCCAGCAGCGGCCCAAGGCGGGGAGCCCCGTGCCCGCGCCGTGCTTTTTACAAAATAACTCCTAGCCTACCTAAATATTATGTGGCGCCACT